GAGGAAGCAAGCTACAGGCAGGGAAAATACAGGCAATGCTATATATGACAAAAGATTGATCCAACAAATACAAAAATCCTCCACAAATCAATAACAAAAAAAAACCCACAATAACCCAACTTTAAGTACATGCAAATACTTTTTGGATGAATATATAATGAAAGAAGGTAACAAGTAGCTGATAAGCATATGAATTCAAAGTCATCAGTTATTGAATGGTGAAATTTAAGCAATGATAAAATGATATCTAGCACACAATAGCATGACTTAAGTTAAGAGTCTGTCCTAACCTCCAAATATTGGTGAGAATATGAAGCAAACACAAGCCCCTACATTGTTGAGAGAAGTGTAAGATAGAAAACCATTTGTCAGCTTCTTGGATGTACACCTACCCTAAAAATCAACATTTATTCTTAGATATTTGCCCAGGAGTAATTGAAATGTGTCAACAACAAAACCTTTAAATAGCTACCAGCTGCAGAGAGCCCAGATGTCTATCAATGAGAAACTGGAAAAAAATAGTGATATTCTCATATATTAATAATACACTACATAATAAGGAGAGATGTACTTCTGACATATGCAATAATAAGGATAAATCAAAATAAGGGAGGATGGCGCTGCAAAGGATCCCACCTGTGTCTAGTCTGAACCAGGAAGGCTTCAACTGATATAAATTATGGTGATGGCTGCAGGTACAGGAAGAGGTGGGGGAGTTGAGGGAGTTATGGGAATAACCCACACCTTCATATGACTGGTGGTTAAATGCATGCTTACACTTTCCAAACTCATTGAGTAGAACTCTCAAGCTAACACATTTCACGGTATATAACTTTTACTTTATGAATGATTAAGCAAATAACACTACAAGAAAATAGCCACACAATCTAGAAGGTGGAATTCTATAGGACAACTGACCAGATCTCTCCAAAATCACTACCAAAGGGCAAGGATTGTGATAAAGAAAGGCCACAGGACATAACCAGACCCAGTGTATGGTTTTGGATAGGATTTTACTTCAGGAAAACAAACCTTCAAAGTGTTTGGGGGATGTTCAGGAGTGATCTAAATGTCATGTTGGTTTCAGACAATAAAGAAAAACTTACTAATAGAAAATTGAAGATTATAAATTGTTTTTTTTTAAAAAGCAGGTTACAGCAGTCTGAACCTTCTGGTCTTTTTAGTACTATGCATCATGCATAGATATTGTATATACTATTTTACATATCTTAATTATATCTATACAATACATACACAGAACAAGACTCAGCACAGGTATAAATTTACCTATGACCATGGGTAACTCTGGGGATGGTGTGATAATTTCTGTCTTCTCATTTGCCCGTTTTCTAACTTTCTGCAGGGCACATGTTCCACTCCTATAGTAATGAACACTGTTTGAAAACATCAGATGCATGGACAGGAACGTAGCTGGGCAGCAGAGCGCATCCCTAGCATGTCCAGAGCTCTGGGTTTGATCAAATCCAGGTGCCACTGTCAAGGGCCTCCAGAGCAAGCCTCCTGGAGCTCTACGCACACCATCATTTCATTCTTACAACAACCTGTCGTGCAGCATCCCTGCTTTTACCCTCTTGATGAAAATAAAAGCTAAGCTCTGTATATAACAGAATCTGACCTCAAACTCCATGCTCTGTTCATTTTACTTATATATAACCTTCAGATTCAGGAGGACTACCCATTTATGAGATATTACTATGTTTCAATGAAATGCATATGGATGAACAAAAAAAAATATTAAATATACCAAGCCAACAACAAAGAAGCCCAGAGTAGAGGATTCTACGTATGTGACTTTTGGAACAAGCAAGCATCTGAGGTGATAGAAAGCAGGACCTCATCCATACCTCACCACAGTCTATGTAAGGATGATACTGACAATATTAGCATCCCCATATTACAGACAAGAGAAGTAAGACTTAGAGATCAAATAAGAAAGAAGGCTCCAGCTCAGGCCACCTGATTCTGACAGGCTACACCACAGCAGATCCCTAAGTCCCCAGGCTGTCACCTGGTAGTACCAGCGACCAACAAAGAGGCCTTGGTATCAGAGGTCTACCACCTGGTGAGTCACAGTAACATGCTTACCTGTCCAGAGCCATGCTGGTTGGCATACTTCTCCCGAACCCTCGAACGCCCATTTGACGGAAATACGGAATGCAAGAGAGGTTGGCGGCGATGATGGCCAGGGAATCTGAGGGACTCACAAAGAAGCCATTTTGGCCAAGGATCATATAACGGTCCTGTGGGAAGGAATGTGTGAAAATTATCAGGGAGAAGCATCTGGTCTTCATACCCAGTTCCCATCATCAGCACAAGCCACTTTCCTGCCGTTTACACAACCTAAAACAATTTGAATAGGCCAAAGGAAGCATGGGAAACCGTATAAATTCCCCGGGGCCCCAGAATCTTGACACAGCTGGAATGCGCCCCACCTGTTGAGATGTGTGCCCAGCTACTTCGTGCATCCATGGCCTTCCCCCCCCCCCCCCCCCCCCCGCACAGACTGCAGAGCTGTAGTAACTGGGAAATAGCTGGGGTTTTTTAATGTTGTGTTTTCAACAGAGCCAGCGATAAATGAAAACTGATTGCCTGACTGTTTTTTAAAGAAATAATTTCTCAAGAACATACATCAATCCTGAAACTAAGAGAAGCTGTAGTTGTCTCGTGGTGCTATCTGGCACTGAACAGCAGAGCAGAGGCATGCCCATGCATGTGCACTCCAGATTCTCTGGCTTCTGATACTCCTTCCATCATGTGGTGAGCGGGTCACTGACTGGGAACCCTCCAGCTTACCCCATCAGCATCAAATGCAGCTCCAAATCCATATTCTCCCCCTTTCATGGCTTCCAGAAGGGTGGTTGCATAGGTCAGGTTTGGGTCTGGGTGCTGCCCTCCAAAGTCTTCTAGTGGGACACAGTTTATAGCAGAGTTGGCCGGGGCTCCCAGTTCATCACACAGAACTTTTCTCACATAGGGTCCCATAACTAAAAAAGATGGATGAGAATGTAAAAACACTTGAAGAATACTCTTCCCTAGGTATTTTCTCCTGGTTAGAAAAAGACAAAAACAACTCACTTAATAAAAATTCTACCATCATTTTTTAGGCTATAATATAAAATCATATAATTTTATTTTTAGGCTATAATATAAAATAATAATCATATCAATTACCACTTATTGAGCATCTACCATATGTCAGGGACTCCGTTAAGCAGATAAAAGATGTCAATCATCCATTGACATGAATTTTTTTTTCCTTGTGGTTTCCTAGAACACTGCCTTTAGGAAATCAACTCTATAATAATGATTTATTACCTTCGGTTTTTCATGTATTAAGTACTTCAACTGAGTATATCAAAAGCATTAAAGGGCACTGGTAATTCTCCTTGCATAATTGTTGTAACATTGCCAAGTTAAGCATGCAAATCCCAGAAGCTTCATATAAAACAAAGCACCTCTTGTAAAACAATGAATGCTATACAATAATAGCTGTTCTGTGGACCAGGAGACCTAACGTTGAACCCCTGTGTTAAGAACTGAAAGCATCAGATTACATTCCTGGGCTCTTATCTAACAGTGAGACAAGTCAAATCTACCGATGAGTGGAGAGGGGAGACGAAAGGGAGATACCTAGTGGGACTCCATGACTTGTAAAAAATGATACCCATAGGTGAGACTTCCCAGAGAAAGCAGTGTTTTGAGCAGGACTTGAAGGAAGAATAAAAGTTTGAGAAGGTGGTAGTAGGGGGACCACACAAGTGGAAGCCATTAAAGCAAGGAAGGAGAGCCTGTTGGAGGGCCACCATGCACTCCTGTCAGCTGAAACACATCTGAGATCACTTTCTTTTGTTTCCTCCCAACACGATACAGTTCTCACATCATGAACATCTCTTACCACACAACCCCCTTGTCCCTGCCTCCAGAGGAAGCATCAGGTTTCTTTTGGAAAACCACATCTTTCTCCAAATCCACTCAAACAACTAGGGTATGGCTAGATCACATTGTCCCCTCGGGTAGGGGGAAGTGACCTACATCTGACCACTCTGATCCCCAGTCATCAACCCAAGTGCCTGATTTGAGGATGGACATACAGTACAAGCCAAGCAATGAGATGCAAACATAGAACTTCAAGAAGAGGGAGCTGTCTTTTCCATGGGCCTGATCAGGCCAAGAACTTGAAAGAGCTTTTCCTGGAGAATAGCATCAGCCCAGGAAGAAGGAACAAAGCATTCCCACCACATACCCTCAGAGCAAAGCCCCAGGAGGGTGAGACCCGAGTGTGCTCAGAGGTCCCAACAGATAGTCAACATGCCAGGCAGCCAAGGGTGCACTAGAATATTATTTTAGGGTGTGTTACTTTTATTTATGTTGCATTTGTTTAACTCTGTGAAGGTGTGTTACTGTGCCTGACTAAAACACCTGATTAGTCTAATAAAGAACTGAATGGCCAATAAGGCAGGAGAAAGGATAGATGGGGCTGGCAGGCAGAGAGACTATCAAGAAGGAGAAATCTGGGAAACAGAGATCTAGCAGCCAGAGAAGGAGGAGGACCACAGGGGCCAGCCACCCAGCTACACAGCAAGCCACAGAGTTAGAGTAAGATTTACAGAAGTAAGAGATCAGGAAAATCCCAGAGGCAAAAGGTAGATGGGATAATTTAAGAAAAGCAGGCAAGAAATAAGCCAAGCTAAGGCTGGGCATTCATAATTAAGAATAAGCTTCTATATGTGATTTATTTGGGAGCTGGGTGGCGTGTACCCCCAAAAGAGTAAAACACCAAAAACAATAATACAGGAGTCACCAAAATCTTGAGGAACACTCTAAACATGACTGAAACAAACAGAAAAGAGGAGCATATTCACACAGTGAGAATGCTTTAAGAGAGATGAACAAATGGAGCAAGATGGCTGAAACGGAGAAGATGCTACTGAGTATTGGTAGGAGTGCACACGCCAAAGCCCTCGGTGTTGCGGGTGTGTCTGTAAAGGGCACGACTACTTTGCACAACAGCTGAGTTCTTTTTTAAACAATTTATTTATTTTATATGCATTGGTGTTTTATCTGCATGTATGTCTATGTGAGGGTGTTGGGTCTCCTAGAACTGGTTACAGACAGTTGTGAGCTGCCATGTGGGTGCTGGGAATTGAACCCGGGTCTTCTAGAAGAGCAAGTGATCTCAACCCACTCTCTAGCCCAACAGCTGAGTTCTTACATAGTTCAGCAGATATTTACCATCAGACTCCACAATCCTGCTTCTGGAAATTTACCCAAAACAAATAGCAATATACATTTCCACAAAAACTTGTTTGTGAATATTCATAACACCTCTAATTGTAGTAGCTAAACACCAGGGGAGGGGAAGGCTAATTTTTATCAACTAGCAAATACATAAACTGTGGTACATCAGTACAGTGGAATACTACGCAACAATAACAAAGAACAAAAAGGGACACACGTACCCTGAACATCATTTTAAAAAAACAGTTGGCTGAATGAAATGTGAAGCAAAAGACTACTGAGTTTATTTTTCCATTTATATGACTTTCTAGAAAAGGCAAAACAATGAAAGCAAAAGAAAGATAAATGGCTGCCAAGGGCTGCGGAGAGAGGTGGAGAGTTGACTACAAAGTCTGGCAAGAAGCCCATAGTCCTCAAAAATGAAAAGTTAATGAAGAGTTGTGTATTTGTGATATTCATAACAAGGCAAATAAAATAAATTTAAAAAATCACTAGAAGAAGGTTGACACTGGAAAGTAGGACATTGACTGCAGAAAAGAATTGGGCATCCATGTTTCCCATGATAATTTAATTCAGCTGTTGAAATTATAGAATGTAGCATGATTTTTTTTTTAAAGTCAATAAACACGTAGTCTTGATCTGCCTCACACTCACATGGTACAGTCCCAAATTTACTTGTTCAATTTTTGTTTTCATTTACATCAAAAGAAAGTAACTGGAGTCCTGAAATTTTCTAGAACATTCCATAGACCTGAAAATGTAGAGGTCTCTTTAACAGTTCTCAGCCACTGCTTTTAGAAAGACACAAGCTCACCTCCATGCATGGCATCAACTCGGATCTTCAGCTGGCTAGGCCCAGTCAGCAAACTCTTGATGGCATTGAAGTCAAAGATGGTCCGGAGAAGGTTGAGATAGATGTCAACAGGGTCCACAATCTCCACTGACGATGGGAAAACAGAGAGAGGGAGGAATATCAATGAGCATGCCTGGGAATTATCTTTAGAGGCACAAAAAAAATTACTATCCTAATGATGCAAAATTCTGATTAAATCCCATCTAACCTGCATGCTACATGGGCAAGGAAGGGTCCATTTGCAAACAAAAACTTAAATCACAGTACAACCAAAGTTCAACAAACTCTTCAGATGAGCAGTGGTACAAATAATCTTCTATACTCTTTTTGCAAGGGAAAATTAGCCACTAGCAGAATTCAGGATACAAATGCTCTGTCATCTCTGCCCACACCTCCCCAACACCTCCCTCCCCCAGCTGCACACACACTAACAAGCATCCCACATATGCAGTGGTCTCTCCTGTGGGTGAGCCAAAGAATGACTCAGCTGGTGGGAAACACAGAAAGGAGTGACCTCAGCTGTGGCCCTTACTTTCCAAATGCTATGATACACACTGGATCCAAGCACAGAGCTGGTGATGTGGGGCTGGATTCTGATTTGACATAAACCCTCTTTCACACTCAACCTACTACCTAATTTCCAGGGGAATGCCAAACATCTGCAGCTCCTCAGTAAACACAAGAGCTCTCCAGTGTGTCACTGAGAATCCCAAGCAAATCTTCCGATTTAACTCATGAAAACCAGCACACAGAATATGGCACCATTTCCAAACATCTAGCAGCATATAATTAGTGCTCAGAAGGTATTTTTCCTAGGAGAAGTAAATGCTTGAGTTTGGAGGAACCTAAAATTTTTTCTAGGAAGAAAAGGATTGCTTTTTTAAATTTGTACTTACATCTATTTATCTCTTTAATTGTGTGTGTGTGTATGTGTATGTGTACGTGTGTGTGTGTGTGCACATTCATTTGGGTATGTGCACATGAGTGCAAGTGCCTGCAGATGCCATACTTATTGGATCCCCTGAAGCTGGAGTTGTGGGTAGTGATGAGCTGCCTGGGTGCTGGAAACCAAACTTGATACTCTGGAAGAGGAGTAAGTGCTCATAACTAGTAAGCCAATTTCCATCCCCCTATAATTAAATTTTTAAAGTTATACATCTATTACTTTTCAATGTCCTACTACTTTGGAGCTGAAATACTTAGGCCTCATTAAAGACATTATCAATCAATAATTTTTTCAGTACATCCAGGTCCAATATTTAATATGTGATATAAATTACCCCTTCATCTGGTCAAATACATGTCTCCAAAAATTTCCCTTACATTTAAATCGGTATATGAGTATTCACTCAAATTTAATTACTTTTTAAGGAGCATATCCTATATTTCATCATCCTCTGAAATGAGGAGACTATTAATTCAGAAAATAATTAAAAACCACTGTCTGTGAACTATACATCTGAAAATGCTTGATTTTAAGCCTCAAATGCTTTAGACATTTTACTTACTTTCTAACATAAGATAATTTTGGAAATTTCACTCTGGTTCTTCATCTCTTGAATCATTTGCCTAAAAATATTTAATATTCACAAGGGACAGTTCAAGGAAGCAAGGCATTCAGGAAAATCGAACACTCCCATTGTCTAATACATGCTCTCGACACCTTAAGATGAGACACCACGGACTATTTGCTTCCAATTAATTCAAGCATTGCTCATCACTTAAAACAGTAGGAATATAGCATATAAATTACTTCAAAGGATTATCTCCAAATTATTGTGAGGAACCAGAAAAACTTCCACCTACATCCAGACTATCACCAGCACTTTAGGGAAGTCACCCAAGGAACAATGTGGCTACAGCAATGAGTTCCCTAAAGACTCAAGTCTCTCAGAAATTATAAAATCATAAATTTGCCTAAAACAATTAAAATAAATATGACTTCTTCCTGATGGTAATGCCTGACGGTTCTCATCCCTCTTATAGCCCAAGTCTTTCTAATCATATATAGTCAGACATATTTAAATTACTTTGTTAGCTAAAGCACAATTGCAGTTGTCTAGATAATCCACATGAGCACATTTTTGCATGTGTGCACCTTTAACTAGATCAACAACAATAGACACTTTTCAGCCAGGCAGTAGTGGCTCACACTTTTGATCCCAGCACTCAGGAGGCAGAGGCAGATGGATCTCTGTGAGTTCAAGGCCAGCCTGATCTACAGAGTGGGTTCCAGGATGGCCAGGACTGTTACACAGAGAAACCCTGTCTTGAAAAAACAAATAGACACTTTTCACTGATGCAATAGTGGTATGAAGGTTATATGGGTAACCAGTTGCTTTTGCATTGGATTTGAGGCCTGCTCTGCAGGAGGGAATTAATATCTGCTACTATAAATTGGTCAAAAGCCCATAATCCAAGAGATCAGAGGCTCTAGGGGGAAATCTTCTACTGTTACCTTGCTAAATTGAAATGTTACCAAACTGCCAAAAAAAAATATTTTTATTTATGTTTATATTTATGCCCACAGATTAGTGCTGGTTTCAATGTTGGCTCCAGTAGCTTCTTCTGCCATGGAAAAATGGTTAATGTTAATATAGAACTCATAACTGGTCCAAGTGCTGACAGGTGATTATTGAGTGCTCAGCCCTAAGTAGGACATCTTTATCAATCCTCTCCCCTCTCAAGGCAGAGATCACCACAGAAGAGGGGATGTAAGGATAGAAGAGCTAGAGGATGGGAGGAGCATTGTTAAATACCGTCTTCTATATGTAGCACGGCCATGGTGCTTAGGAACTCATTGCAACTATGGGTGCCCACTCAAGACCAAACAAAGAAGATCCACCAGTGTTCCAATGGGGGAGCACCAATTAGACTCAGTGGGTCGAAAACAAACAAGGCCAACAAAACAAAATCACAACAGAAGAGAACATAAAGATGAGAAGAGGGCCAGCATGGTGGGTGAAAAGTGGAGTGTGGGGGAGTGGTCGGAGGTGATATCATCAAGATCCACTGCTTACATGTATGAAGATACTGAAGAATAAATAAATGATACTGTATTTTTTTAAGTGGGCACTGCTGCTTCTAGTGAATATCACGCAGCTTTCCGTAAATTCTCACTACCTGAGCAAATGATCAACTCAAAACTTTTCAAGAAAGACCTGCTATCAGTAGCCAGCCCATCACACAGTCTATTTTAAGCTTTCTCTGACTTTAAAAATCATGTGCCCAGGTTGGGAGGGTAAATCTAGAAGAACTTATGAGGAGGAGTGGGGGATGAATATGATCCAAGTGCATTGTATGATTATAAAATTCTTAAAGAGTTAATAATAATACATTTTTAAAAATCACATGCCCATGACCGTTCATCTTTTTAGTCTAGTTGAATTACTTGTAACATCAGGACACCATTGATGCAAACTATACCCAAGATTGTAGAGGCACTAGAAGAATAAAATAGGTTGGTTCTATTGCTCCCTCTGTGCCTTCGATACAATTTTAGTTGTATAAAATGGTAAGGTGAATATTCATGGCATGAACGTTGCTAGAGTACTCATAAGAAAATGGTAAAACAACAAATTGTGTTCTTAGTTCTTCCAAAGTTTATTTACTTAACCATGTAAGATAATACTTGTCAAACTCATTCTGGTTGTTTTTCTTTCTTCCTTTCTTCTTTTTTTTTCTTTTCTTTTCTTTTTTTTTTTTTTTTTTTTTTTTGAGACAAGGTCTCTCTCTCTATGGATACATTGGATGCCACTGTGCCAGGCTTGGCTGTTTAATTCTTGAACCACTTGCCTAAATACACTCAGTAATTACCAAATTCCTTTGTGAAAGCTCTGAACACAGTGCTTGGTAGAGCAGGCGGTCAGCCATGGTGTGTCAAGTTAAGCAGAACTGCGTGGCCCAGGCCTGGCCGAGAAACTCTTCCCTCCCACAAGAAGTTTAACAACCCACTGGCTTTTTAGCTCTCTTACATTTTCCCACATCTTCACCTTAATTACTTAGAAATTATTCAAAGACAAGTTTTGGTGACCCACAGTTTATTCCATGTATGCTATAATGGAGCCAACCTCTTTCTATGTGGAAAACGATAGTTTGGATAGTGGCTTTTGAAAATGTCGAGATCTAAATACAGAGATTTCTTAAGTTTCTTTCTGCACTGCGTGTACTTTCTAACCATTCATCCGGAGCCACTCCTCAGATGACTAAGTGAGTATTTCCCATGAGAATCCTTCCCTACAGAAACCACTGATCACCAACAAGAACTGCTGCAGCCTCATACATCCTAGACTCCACCATACACACCCCTCTTGGAAAGCTGTCCCACTCATGGGACACGCCTTCATAATCCGTTACCTCTGAATGGTTTGAACTTGTTCTCCAGGTCAAATTCTTGTCTTCCTAGTCGAGACAGGTCGATTCGAAGATCAGGACATATGGCATACTCCTCAATTGTTTTGCTGATCTGGTAGATTTTATCTGAGACAGCATCTGGTGCAGGACCTAAAATGTGACAACCAAAATGTGTTCATTTTAAAGCCAATGTTCTCTGAATGTCAATCAGAGAAACAGGACTGCCCTCCTGTACTAGAGAGGAGGATTCATCAGGTGTCTACACAATGAACAAAGATGCACTGCTGTGGGATGCTCTGTATGTCAAATTGTTCTGATTGGTCAATAAATAAAACACTGATTGGCCAGTGGCCAGGCAGGAAGTAGGTGGGACAAGGAGAGAGGAGAATTCTGGGAAGCAGAAGGCTGAGGCAGGAGACACTGCCAGCCGCCGCCATGACAAGCACCATGTGAAGACTCAGGTAAGCCACAAGCCACGTGGCAAGGTATAGATTTATAGAAATGGATTAATTTAAGCTATAAGAACAGTTAGCAAGAAGCCTGCCACGGCCATACAGTTTGTAAGCAATATAAGTCTCTATGTTTATTTGGTTGGGTCTGAGTGTCTGTGGGACTGGCGGGTGACAAAGATTTGTCCTGACTGTGGGCAAGGCAGGAAAACTCTAGCTACAGATGCACAGTCCCACGGACCAGACATTCCCAGCTTGGAGTCACTCACTGTAGAGGATATTTGATCAGCCCTGCCTGCTCTGTGTAGACTAACAACCCACATGTTTGTTTTAATCTACTTCTAAGTAATGATACATATACTCTAAAAATAGTTTTACACCTGCTGGGGAGACCCGGTTATGCAATTAGCTTTATTCGGGATATGACACACAAACAGGATATGCATTTGACAGAAGTGAGGGCTTCCAGATTCAAACCGCAGTTCCCCAAGTGCACCTAAAAAAAAAAAAACGATTTCTCCTTCTCACTATTGTCTCATTGATATGTGAGCTTTTCCAGGTAAATGATTTTTTCCAGTTTACACTCTCTAGCACAGCTAAGTTTTAAAATGACGGATAACTAAAAATGCTTGATACATTTCCTCAGAAGATCAAATTGGGAACAGTGATGGAGAAAGAAATTTTAAATGAGTTGAGTATAAAATCAGTACTTGGTTTCCTCCTCTTTTTAAACACATGTATCCTCACACAAGGCTTAGTTGGTTTTTGTTTGGTCTTGGAGAAGGTAGGAATTGAATAAGTATACTTCATGGCCTTAAATATAAAAGACAGCTAGAAAGTTCTGAGTGAGAACCACAGTGGCTGACTATATTATAACTTCCTACTGAACAGAAATTGTTTCTACATTTGTCTCATTCCCCGCTCCTTTGAGCTGCACTATCCAATACAATGACCATCCGCCATATTTAGCTACTGAGTACCTGGAGTGTCACTAAACTGAAATTATAAATTGCATACCAAAATTTTAATGTACATAGTACAAATTTAATGTACATGGTGCAAACAACCATGTAACAGGTTATATTAACACTTTATATTTATATATTGAAATATTTGAATATAGTATGCTAAATAAATTATATTACCTAGACATTCTCTTTTACATTTTTAATACCACTATTAGAAAAATTTTACATTGTATATATGGTTCATAACACATTTGTATTGAACAAAGCTACCTTCTTAGAATAAGAAGCAATGTTTATAAGAAGGAATGGCAATAGCCCCACTCCAGCAGGTAGGGCAGAAGACAGCCTGATTGGTTACATCAAGAGTTATCTTACATGGGATGAGTGAACACCTCAACCACACAGAAGGGCCTGGGTGATGGATCAGTCAGTAATGTGCTTTGCCATACGACCATGGGGACCTGTGCTTGGATCCTCAGCACTCACATAATATAAAAAGCCAGGCATGGCAACTCATGCCTATAACCCTGGTGCTAGATGGCATGGGCAGGAAAATAGAACTCCAGCAGCTCACTGGCCAGCTAGTCTATCCAGTGAGTGAGAGAGACCTTGTCTCAAAAGAAAAGGTGGACAGTGACAGAAGAAGCCACCTGATGTCCATCTCTGGCCTTCATGCATGCACATAACTACACATACATACATATGTAACTATGTACACACACACACACACACACACACACACACACACACGGAAATGCATAGAGCCTTTTTCCTTTACTCCTTGACATTTTAAAATGTTTTTAAATTATTTATTTTTATTGTTATTTTTAAGTGTGTGTGTGTGTGTGTGTGTGTGTGTGTGTGTGTGTGTGTGTGTGTGTGTGTAAGCACATGAGTGCAGGTGTCCACAGAGGCCAGGGGGATTAGATACACTGGAGCTGGAATTACAGGCAATTGTGAATCATGTGATGTGGGTGCTGGGAATCATCTTCCTAGCCCTCCTTACCATTTTTTGCCCTTCACAAAACTTAAAAAAATGAAGAATCTTGTTTTGTGTTTGCATTTTAGGTTTGCCAGATTAAAGAGAGTTTTACACACACACACACACACACACACACACACACACACACACACACACACGCATGCACGCGCGCGCGCGCACGCACGCACGTGTATTCGGGTGCCATACTACATTATTTGGCTATGTATTGTTGTGGGAGACTTGTTCACTCTGTCTCCTGAAACTGTCGATAAACTGAACTGTGAGTTAGAGGACCGAGTCCACGCTCAGCTGACCAGAATAAACCATAGAGTTTTGGGGGACTCAGATAGGGAGAGAGGGACACAGGAAGGAAGGAGGTGGGGCTTAGGAGTTTCGTAGACCTTTTGGATCTTGAGAAAGCAGAGAGGAGGGTCTGCTGGGCTTTTCTCCATCTCTTTTTGGATCTACCAGGTTCATACCCTACTATCTGACTCCCGAGTTTTGATTAATAATAGAGTAATTTAGACAATAATTATAGTGTCTATCGCTTTTATGAAGTCTGAAGTCTAACACCAAAGCACACTGGTTTCTAAAACTAAAGTAGCAGGTTACATAATGCCACCCATGCTGATACCCTCGGAATTGGGCAAAACTTAGCCAAGTACAATGACACTTATGTAGAGAGATGTCATACTAACGCCCTTCATTTCGCCGGGCGGTGGTGGCACACGCCTTTAGTCTCAGCTCTCGGGAGGCAGAGGCAGGCGGATCTCTGTGAGTTTGAGGTCAGCCTGGGCTACAGAGAGAGTGCCAGGAAAGGCTCCTCCAAAGCTACACAGAGAAATCCTGTCTGGCAAAACAAAACAAAACAAAAATCATAAAACATAAACCCCTTATTTCACAGGCTAGCTGAAACCATCCTAACGTTTACAAACGCTCCGTCCCCATGACTCACCTCTTCGTTTATCATTGCTGCCTAGCACCGTCACCACTGTTACTGCTCCTTAAATCCTTTGGAAAATGTCACACTAGAGCTCCTACAGTTCACAAAATCCTTGTCATCCATCTGCCTCATATGAACCCACCCTGTACTCTTACTTGGCACCTTCCATCACCTGATTAATCCCAGAATATCAGCCCAATTCTAGCTGCATTGGTTTCTTATCACAGACAGGACTCTGGGGTCCTCATGTGAACCAATGTATATGAAAACGTATATATAACACATTAGATACGTTACATGGAGCTTTATACTCAAAGAGACAAATAAAGTATTATCACCCTCTTCAAGTGGAGAAGCCGAAGTTAGAAAGCATGCTATGTCTTTGTCTGTCTGTCTGTTTGTTTGTTTTAAGTTTTTTTATTTTATGTCTGTGGATATCTATGCACCACCTGAGTGCAGTGCCCACAGAGGCCAGAAGAGGGCATCAGATCCCCCTGGAACTAGGTTAGAGCCCAGACCATAGTTAGCTGCCATGTGGGTTCTGGGAATCAAACCCTAGTCCTAGAAAAGAGAAGTCAGCCCTCTTTCCAGGGGCAGGATAGCATGTCTTACCAAGGCAGCATCTCAGAGATGCCACAGTCTATGCCAGCTTGCCAACCCCTCACACCACCCTATGCTGGTCATGCCCTGCCTCTCTCACACGGCCATTTCCAATCTCAGAGCATCAGCAATGCCTGCTCTCCCTGCTGCCACGCCCAGATTCCCATGCACCAATGGGAGACAGCATGAAGTTGTAACCTGGGTTCCCAAAGAACAAAAGTGCTCACTTTGATCTTCACAGTTTCTCAAGATCACTCCACAATTTACCCAGAATACCTTCCACAAAATAATTTCATTTATCTCAAGTTCCCTCTCTATTTCTACCCCCCATTGTCTTAGCAAGAAACTTTTCATCGTACCTTAAATACATAAACAAACATGCAAGGGAAACTATCTCCTACCATTTCCATTCTGCACCCTACAAAGCTTCCTCCACAGCCACGTCTGCCTTCTTCAGAAGTCTTCCCACTTGCTGGACTCTAGGCAGAATATTCGCTCCACGGCAGACTAATCACGTGACACTGTCAAGCCTTTCTCATCTCACGCCTCTGTCATTTGACCACTTAGCTATAAGAATTCAACAGATAATGTTGGGGGGGGGGACTGAGCAGGTTACCAGCCTAGAGTGAGGACTGAATATCAGCGTTTTTATTGTCCTCAAAACATACTTAAAAGGCAACTTGATTCCAAATATTCTCCCACTTCCCTGAGCCTAAGTCTATAGACAAGTTCTATCCACAAGGTGCATCAGTTTAATGCACGGTGAGAAGAGGCAGATGCCGTAACTTTGGAAGATAGATGCCATGATAAAATGCACTCTATGGATGAAGAAGCTGAATCTCCCCCCAGGCCATTAGGAATGTTCATTTCACAAGTGCAGCCAAGACATGCAAGCATGTTAGAAGTTAGGAGTTAGTTGGAAGGATAGAAGGATTTTCGATGTAGTGAAGGCTCAGTGATAGGGTCACACCAAACCCTCTCAGTAAAGCACAACCCCCTGCATTTTCATCTACAGAGTGGGTATATAAATTGCTTTGGCTTGGCTATAGCTAATGTCCACCAATGGTTCACATCGGTCCCCTCTGTGTTGGTGCTGATGTGGCAGGACCTTTGGACTAGAGAAAAGTGGTTAAGCCGATGGAAGCACCATCCTCAGATAAGATTAATGTAGTTCTTATGGGACCCTGGTGAGTTCCTCAGACAGGAATGTTGTTATTAAAAGAGTAATTTTGGCCCCTGAGACCTTTTGGCTTCCTGTCTCATAATGTGACTGTTCTCTGTTGTAGAATATTATTTTAAAGTGTGTTACTTTTGTTTATGTTGCATTTGTTTAACTCTGTGAAGCTGTGTTACTTTGCCTGTCTAAACCACCTGATGGTCTAAAAAGAGCTGAACGGCCAATAGCGAGACAGGAGAGAGAAACAGGTGGGGCTGGCAGGCAGAGAGAATAACTAGAAGGAGAAATTTGGGAGGAGAAAGAGAAGAGCCAGAGAAGGAGGAGGACATCAGGGGCCAGCCACCCAACTACACCACAAGCCATGGAGTAAGAGTGAAAAGTATACAGAAGTAAAACAGGGGAAAAGCCCAGAAGCCAAAGGTAGACAGGATAATTTAAGTTAAGAAAAGTTGGCAAGCAACAAGCCAAGCATGTTTATAATTAAGAATAAGCCTCCATGTATGATTTATTTGGGAGCTGGGTGGTGAGCCCCCCAAAAGAAAAATGAGCCAAAAAACAAACAACAGTTCTCTTCCTCTTATATGTACTTCCACAATGATGTCACCCATCATCTTGTGATATAGCCAGAAATGTCCCAGCAGAGATTAAACATATGGGGCTAACTAATCTAAACTTTTAGCCTTCAAATCTGTGAATTAAATGAAACTCTTCTCTTTATATACCACTTGGTCTTAGGTGTTCTGTAATGGTAACAGAATTAGACGATTACACAAATCGTATTTTCTCCTCTCATGCCTCACAGAATATCACAAAGACAGCTGAGACACTTATAAGATATGAAGCAGGGTTGGCATGATGGTACAGCAGGTAAAGTGTTTGCTGCCAAGCCAGACAATCTGAGTTTGATTCCTGGAATCCACGTGATGGAAGGAAAGAACTGACTTCCACACATTGTTCTCTGACTTTGAAACACACTACCACACTGCCACACACACACACACACACACACACACACACCACAAATACACATACACACACACCACAAATACACATACACACACCACAAATATACATACGCACACCACAAATACACACACACATCACAAATACACATACACACTACAAATACACACACACCACAAATACACACACACAAATACATATACACATGCATACATAAAATAAACAAATCAATGTAAATACATTTTTAAGATATGAAATTAGATACTGGTTTAGAATACCTGTTTGAAATTCATTATTCACTTGACAGCTTACATATCCTATTTCTCTACAAAATAGAAAACTTGGATTTCTGGCATTACCAGTGTATAAAAATCTCAGAAACTTCATATTTCATCTGAAATCTTCCAAAGTTGCTGCAGAACTGGATGTAGGCTGTAGGGGAGCTTTTTTGAGTGAGACAGCACAGCTCTAAGCTGGCTTTCAGAGACAGGGCATTGTTGGATGTGGTAACACACATGTTTAATCTTAGCACTTAGGAGGCAGAGGTCAACCTGGTCTACACAGTGAGTTCCAGGCCAGCCAGGCTACATAGTGAGACATAATGGAGGGGGGAGATGGGGAACTTAGGTAATTTAGTTTTTGCTTTGTTTTTTAAATAAATTTCATTATGTATATTTGAGGTTTTCAACATGATTTTGTAGAATATATAGAGAAATAAAGGAAGGCCTGGGTAGATAGCCCAGTTGGTAAAGGGCTTACCTTCTAAGCATGAGGACCTCAGAGAAAAAAAAAAGAAAGGAAGGAAGGAAAGGAGGAGGGAGGGAGGAATGGGATGTTGTGGCATAAGTTTGTAATCCCAACACTAGCAGACAGAAACAGGAGGATCTCTGGGGCTCACTGGTCAGCCAGTCTAGCCTACATGGCAAGTTTCAAGTCAGTAAAACAACCCGTCTTTTAAAAAAAGGAATGACCCTAAAGGTTGACCTCTGGCCTCTACATGCACACACATGCACACACACATACTGAATAAAATGGTTACTATGATAGAACAAATTAACTTATTTATCATAACACAAGTAGTTTTTTGTAGCAAAGCAAGTAAGGTAAAACTGAACAAAGTCATGAATATACTGCAATTCAATCATCCATAACACTCATCCTGTACATTGTATCCCTAGAGTTGTTCATCCAACATGTCTGCTTCGTTGTGTCCTCTGACCTCTGTTTCCCCATTTTCCTCCCCTTGGCCTCACCAACAATGACAAGTGCCACTTTATTCTCCTTCTCTGTATAGCTGATGATCGTTGACTCCACCTGTAAGTAAACTCACACTTATTTCACTTAGCAGAATGTCCTCTAGGTCCACCCATGTTGCGACAAATGACATCCTTTTCTAAGGCTAAGTGATATCCCATCATGCGAGTATCACATTCTTCATCTGTTCATCTATTCACAGATAGCTGGGTTGTTTCTACATCTTAGCTATTGTGGACAATGCTACAAAGAAAATGCAAGTGCAGATTTCTTCATAATATAGTGACCCAACATTGTGGTGTTTAGAGGCAGAAGAGGCAGGGCTTGCTCATATGAGTTTCCATTTTTCCTCCATACCGTTCTCCTTAGTGGTTGTACCAGTCTATGTTCTAGTCGACTGTGCTAGGCTTCTCTTCTCCGAATCCTCCCAAACATTCCTCTCTTGCTATTTCATAGTCGCCATCCTAGCAAGTATCAGGTGAGAGTCCATACATTTCTTGAATTTGTTATTGGATTCTCTAACGTGTTCTCCCTAAAGAATGCTCCACATGACCTTCTTTTGACCTTGTAATACTTATTTGACTGGAATTCTATTTACCTAAGTGTGCCAGCCCTGATCTCCTTTGGTGTCTTATCTTCCAGAAGTATCTTCTCCTGCTCCTTCCTGTTCCACTGATGTGTGCTCATAAAGCTTCAAAGAGTCAGTTACAGGCAGCGAGGATATGGCTCTTATCTGTCTGTACCCATTCAGCCACTCTACATACTTTAATTGAAGATATCAATCCATTTACATTCTGGGGCATTACCCATAATTACTCACCCCTGCCACTTAGTTGACTGTTCTCTGTTGTTTGCTAGGCTCTCTGTGACTGTCTTCCTTTTTTTGGGTCTACTTTTGTGGCTTGGGTGATTTCCTGTACTATTAAGCTTTGATTACTTCTTCAGGTGTTGTGGGAGCCCGTTCTGGGGTTCCTTGTGGCTTTACCCAGCAGGTCCAAATAGAGGATGATCAGGACCACAGGCCTGAGTGCAGGTGTCTGAGATGGTCTGCACTTGGCTGTGCTGGGGGAGGAGGTCTTTTGCTCCACCCCTTGGCGTCTCTATAAAAACCCTGGACCAGAGGCAGTCGGGGCCCGTTGGAATAGGTTCCAGGCCCTCTCGAGGCTATCCTTTATTTTCTATCTGTTTATCTCCGCAACATTCTCCGCTATAAATCCTTCTATCTAATATTTCCTGCTGCTCGCACTCAAGAAAACTCTGGGAAGCTGTGGGGGTGGTGGGTAAACGCCCCACAAGGTGTAGACATGCTCTAGCTTTTCCTTGTAATTAGTGTGTGTGTGTGTGTGTGTGTGTGTGTTTAACATTCAACACGAATTGTTTATGAATGGTTTATTTTTTAAATAATGTCCAGAATGGCTACAGGGAAAGAACAATAATAAAGTCTTCTTCATAATGTTCTGTTGTACTGTTTTGCCTGGGGCCAGGAATAACTCACAATAATAACTGGCTTTTACTAAAATTCAGCTTATGATCTCATAAGCAAACATATTTGGTATTCTACATTAAAAGAGACTGAAGGGTCTTAGCAAACAAATGTACAGTTCTGAGATGCATCTTTTTTTCTTAATGAAATAGCTGTAAATAACACTTTGACAATCATTGGGAAGAAAGGTGACTAGAGATTAAGTTTCAAACGGTATTAGAGGATTATTGTTATTTTCGTTAGATCTGTGTGGTGATTAATCACTATTGTCAGCTCGATCTAGGAGACACACCTCTTGAGGTTGTTTCTACAGAGGTTTAGTTGAGGAGGGCAGGCTCACCCCGAGTGTGGGTGGCACCATTCTGTGGGCTGCATAAAAATGGAGATTGAAGCCAACTAGGCACCGGCTTTTCCTCCTTTCCCCCGCTTTTTCTCTCCCCTGCACACCTTCCCTTCCATGATGGACTGTGTCCCCTCAAACTGTGAGCCAAAACAAGCCCACCCTCCCTCAAGTTGCTTCACATCAGGAGTTCATCACCAGAAGAAAAGCAAGTCGCCCGGTGGCATGTTACTCTAGTTGTGTGGGGATGTGTCCTTCTTTAAAAATGAGCACAAAAATATCTAGGTATGGAATGTCTTCATGCTGAATTGTGCCTTAAAATACCCCAGGGGTTAAAATTATTACCAAAATGGGGAAAACACAGTAATGGATACCTGGAGTGTATTTATTATCTCCCTACTTTTCTGTACATTCTGTTTTTTAAAGAAATTCATCTCACTGTTCACTACGACTCCAGACTGTACATTTCTATAAATTTAAGAACAAAGTAAATAATTCTATATATGTAGCAAGAGAAATTCTACACTGAGATCAGACTTAGGCTACATTTGTCTGTCTCTAAGTTACTTTTGAAAGGTCACTTTTGGAAGTTACTTCCAGAGTAACTCAGTCTCCAGGAGCTTCCAATTGTTTCTTCACAAAATGAGAGAGAGTTTTTAAATGGCCTTCGGGGTAAGTTCTAACTTTAAAATCCAGAGTCCTCCTGTATCAGTTAAGTATCAACTATCCAGTCTTTCACTTGGCTGAAGCATACAGAAGATCAATAGACCAGCCCTGAGCATCTGAGGGACCATATGTTACTTCCTTGGGATCACATCACCTTGGGCCCCTCACCAAATTTTCTGAGCTGAGTCCTCTCCACTTTGCCCGCTTACCATCATAGAATACAATAATGCATGAGGAAAAAAAATCAGGTAAGGCGTATTTGGAACCACATACCTCCATTAGCAACATTAAACTTCACTCCAAACTCTCCCCCTGGTCCTCCAGGACAGTGGCTGGCCGTGAGGATGATTCCACCAGCTGCCTTGATCTTCCTGATAATGCAGGAGACTGCAGGTGTCGACAAGATGCCATTCTGCCCGATAATCAGTCGTCCGATCTAAACCGTCCAGAAAAAAAAAAATCAATTCAAGCTTCACAGAACTGAAGGCATTCCAGCAGGAAAGTACACCATGCTCTGCTAAGAGGTACCCCAGCTTCTATCCAAAGAAACTGAGCAGGTTTTATGTTAGGAAAGCCAAATAAAAGGAATTCCAGCATTGTGTGCCCTACCCAAAGTCTCCAAGCTCATTCGGGCTGCTCATATCTTGTTTTCCACCAGTAATTGGTAAGTTCCTAAGGAGCACTTATCTCTGGTGTTTGAAATATCTACTTTTGATGACCAACAGGTTTGCTGAGCCAACATTAATTCTTAGTTCGGTTCTGACTCAGAAACTGTAATGATGAAGGTGTTAGAAATAACAAGGAAGAAGAAAGGGACTACTTCCTACTTCTGCTTCTTCTGTGTGGTACCTTAACCTTGATTGCCACATTGATGGGATTTAGATTCACCATAAAAACAAATCTCCAGGCATGTCTTGAGGGATGATCTAGATTAGGTGAGCTGAGGGAGGAAGACCTGCCTTAAATGTCTGTACCATTCTATGGGTCATGGTCTTAAACCAGATAAAAAGAAGAAAGCCAACCGAGCAGAATAATGCATAGCTCTCTGCCTCCTGACTGCACATTTGATGTGACCAGTCACATCCCACTCTTGATGTCATACCTTTGGGTTTCTACTCCAGTGTGAGAGATAGAAACCATGACAGCCCTATGAAATGCAGTACTCACAATCCCTACCTTGAATGGCTTTCTATTTATCCTGATAACATTTCCTGTGTCATATATTATCACCTAATACTTCCCATATTATTTACTTACCCACTGTGTATAACCCTCAAGAACTATTTATTTCACTGTTTCTAAATAACCTAGAACAAACCTGCCAATCAGCAAGTGTGTAAGACAGTATCTGTGAATTGGGTAATATTAAAATTAATGAACAAGTTCTGTATGAAAAATACATTGGGAAAAGGGAAGATGGCAGATGATACCCATGATGCTGTGATGGTTACATTTGGCAACTTGGCACAATCTAGAAACACCTAGAAAGTCTCAACAGGATATTATCTTCATTGAATTGAGCTGTGGGCGTGCCTATGGGGGACTGTCTTAATGAACTGATATGGGAAGGCTCAGCCCACTATGGGCAGCATCATTCCCTAGGCAAGATCCTGAACTGCGTAAGAGTGGAGAAACCAGGGCGAGCAGAAGCAAGTAAGCATGTGTGCATTCACTTCTCTCTGTTCTCGACTGTGGGTATGATATGATTATCTGTTTGAAGTTTCTGGCTTGACTTCCTCACAATGAAGGACCATAGCCAGGAATGGTACGTTGCTTTTGTTGGGGTATTCTATCACAGCAACAGAAATGAAACCAGAAGACATTGACTCCTAGACTGTCCCCGTGGTGGCAGAGGGACAGGGATACTTGGACACCAGCTATCCTAACAGAAGGGTGAAAGAAGAAAACTACTAATCTAAGTAGCAAAGAAAGAAAGAAAACTTTGGAAAGCAGAACAGGTGAAAAAGTCCAGAGTGCACTCTCAAGGGCTCAGCCCCAACTGTGTGTGCTCTCCTCCTCCCAGTGCCAGTGAGGGCACAGCAGCATTTGAATCATAGTCTAGGAGAAGAAGAGAGTCTCATAAAGCTCACACTGTAGTTTCAGCAACAGAGCATTTAAGAGCATTGAGGAAGGACGACAAAAACCACACCCAAGGCAGCTGTACTGGCCGAGGATGGGGTGGTGTTGGGAAATCTTCTCTTCCCCACACTGGACCAGAGCAGTGGCGAGAAGTCATGGTAAGGGTAATAGGGGTGTATATAATCAAAAATATATTATATGTATGATTGTAATTAAATACATAATAGATAATTAATATATACTAATCAACTTTTAAATGAAAATTAAAAGACCCTCACTGAGTCAAGAGCTAAGCAGTTCTGCAGGCAAAGGTCCATTCCTGGTGATCACTCTGGGAATTCAGGGAAGCACAGGACACGTGAAGGAATCTTACACACTAAAGAGACAGATAAACATATCCAGGAGGGCCCAGGAGAGAATAAACCATAGTAAAGCAGTAAGTGAATGAGGACCAGGAACATACAAAAGACTGCAAAAACAATAAACTTGTATTTACTGCATAATGATGAATGGAACCATCAATCAAGAAAAAATTACCATTATAAAAATAATATGCACAAAACATTGGCATACCCAATTTTATAACACAAAGACAAATAATACTTGATGTAATAGCACAAACTGACCTAAATACAATTATGCTGAGTGATGTTAATATGTCACTCTCACCAATTGACAGGTCTCCCAGACCTCAAAAAAAATCAGTTAAGTAATAGAGGTCAGAAGAACTTAATAGACATCTATAGATGATTCCACCCAAATACAGCAGGACACACATTCCTCTCATCAGGCCATGGAAACTTCTTCAGAGAAGACCATATTTTAGGACACAAAGCAAGTCTTAACAAACACAAGAAATCTGAAGTAATTTCCTCTACCTGATCACAATGAAATATACTAGGCCTCAAAAGTAAGAGATCATAGAATGTACAAACCCACAAACCCATGGGGATCCAACAACAGGGTGCTGAATGATGAATAGGTCATCAAGGAAATTATGAGATTTTTTAAAATTCTTAAGACCAAAAGAACACAACATACCAGAGTCTACAGAATATGATAAAAGATCTTTTAAGATGAAAGTTGATAGCTATAAATATCTACTTTTAAAAAAAAAATCGGTAAAATGATCAGCAAAATAACAGAAAGGTAACGTAATGATGAACTCCAAAGTCCTAGAAAAACAAAAAATCAGTAGATGAAAAGAAATTATAAGATAACAGTAAAAAAATGATTAACAGAATATACAAAGAATCAATGAAACAAAGATTTGGTTCTCTGATGAGATAAATGTGATTGCCAAACTCCTAGATAAACTGAGAGAGACAGAAAGACAGACCAACGGAGACAGAGACAAAGAAAAAGCCAAATTAATAAAAAATTATTGGTGTTAAGGGGACATTACAGCAAACACCAACAAAATCCAGATCATTTGAGAATATGTCTGCAACATATTATAATAAGTTGGAAGATCTAAAAGAACCTGATATATTTCCAGACATATATGATCTACACAAATTAAAACAAGAGGATATAAACAACTTAACTAGATCTGTAGCAAAAAAAAATGAGATTGAAGCAATAACAAAATGTCTGTCAACCAGGCTTAGTCACCCACACCTTTAAAGAATTAATACAAGTGCTCCTCGAACTAGTTCATAAAATAAAAAGGAAGGAACACTGTCACCCATTTTCCAAAGTCAGAATCACTCTACTACTGAACCAATTAAGTACACAAATATATATATAATTACAAGCCAACCTCCCTGTTGAATACACATGTAAAAATTCTCGGTAAACTGAATTCAACTACACATTATTCACCACAACTGAGTTGGAGTCATTCCAGGCTACAGGAAGGTTTTGAAGCATGCCAATCAATAAATAGAATGCATTTAAATTACATCAACAAACTCAAGGATGGAAATTATATGATCATCTCAACAGATGCAGAAAAGGCCTTGGACAGTGTCCAACACCCTTTCATGATGAAGTCCTGAAGAAACTAAAAATAAAGCGAACACACCTCAGCATAGGAAAGAATGTATGTAACATTCACCCCGCATTTATTCTAAACTTGTGGTGGGGGATGATATTGTCTTCTATAAAGTCAGGAAGGAGCCAAAGGTGTCCACTTTCTCCCCTCTTACTCAGTATGGTCCTCGAAGTCTTCACCAGTGCAATAAGATGAGAGAAGAGAATGTATGCAGGTAGGAAAAGAAGTAAGTGATCTTAATCCCTATTTGTAGATGACATAATTCTGCACGTGGGAAATTCTAAAGATGCCACAGGAAAACTCTCAGGACTGGTAGACAATTTCAACAAAGCTGCAGGACACAAATAAACCAGCAGCATTTTTTTTAATCTCAGGAACATGCATGCTGAGAACGAAATCAGTAATCCAATCCAATGCAAGAGCTTCAAAAACCTGAGTTAAAAGGATAGGAATAAACCTAACTAAGGAAAAAAGATTGCTATGATGAAAATTTTAAAACACTGAAGAAATAACTTGAGGAAGACATTAGAAGATAAAATGAATTAGCATTGATAATACAGTGGCTCTGTTATTAAAAGCTATTTGGTGTAATCCCCACTGAAGTTCCAATGACATTCTTCACAGAAATAGAAAAACAATCCTAAAATTCCTGTGGAAGCATAGAGAGCCTCGAACAGCCTGAGAAAAAGAATAATGTTGGAGGTATAGCCACACCTAACTTCAGTCACACCACAGAACCATAGTCACAGAAACAGCATTGGTACAAAAAGAGCCATGTGCTCAATGGAGCAAATGTGAGACCCAGACATACACCTCCACACAGCTACAGCCACCTGGGTTCTGACAAAAGCTTCAATAAATAGTGCTGGGGAATTTCACTGGATATCAATGTGTGCAGAAACAAGAAACTAGATCCCTACCTCTCACCCTGTACAGAAATCCACTCAAAATGGATCACAGCCTTAATGTGAGACCTGAAACTCCAAAACTGTTAAAGGAAAGCATGGAGAAAACATGTCAAGACCAAGGCAAGGGGAGGACGTCATGCACAGGACTCCAGTAGTTCAGGAAACAATCTCAAGAACTGACAAATGGGTTGTATGGAAGTAAAAACTTCTTCACAGCAAAGGAAACGATTAATCAAGTATGGGGTCAACCTGGGGGTTAACATAATGGAGAATGAAATTATGTTATTTGCTGAAAAATAGATGCAACTGGAGATAACCATTAAGCAAAATAAGCCAAATTCTGTAAAATAGTATCACACTTTATTTGCATTTGTGGATCCTAGATCTTAAAGAGATACATTGTGGGGGCCCACAAAGGTTTCCTAGTGATATCTGAGCTTGCTTTACCCAGCA